GTCGTCAGGCAGTAGGCGGGGGACACCCTGAACTCGTTGCCAGCCAATCGCAGGGCACACATTCACGCTCACACCTCGGGACAATTTGGACTGTTCAATCACCCTGTCATGCATGTTTTTGCAATGTGGGAGGAAACCGGAATACCCGGAGAAAACCCACGCAGGCCCGGGAAGAACATGCAAACTCCACATATGGAGGCCGGAGCTGGAATTGAACTCGGTACCTCTGCACTGTGAGGTTGACGTGCTAACCACTGGACCAGCGGGCCACCCCAAAACTGCATAATAGAAAAATCATTTTGTGGAGCGTTATTTTTCACTGCGCATCAGTGCAGATGACATTTATTGGCTTGGATAGATTGGTCTTACTCAATTTTATCTCCAACAATAAAAGCACAAAAATTAGGCCTAATTACTGCTACGTTTGCCTTGTGGAAACATGCTGCCTCTCATAGGTCGGTCGTGAGCCTACGCCGGCCTTCTCATTGTGTTGAGGAAGGGGAATGAAGTTATATCTCAGAATGTGCCCATCTTGTTTGATCGTACATTTACCTGGGAAACACAGGAAGTGGCCTGAGCGCGAAAACAGAGATGGAGCACACTTGTCGCCAAAGACAATGCGGCCAACAGAAGCTGGAGCCAGTGTTTGCCTTGAGACGGATACTGAGCACGCTCACTCGCCATCGACCGCAATTCCCCAATTAATATGAGGAGAGCAGAACCGAGAAGGAAAACCTGTCAAAAATGAAGCCGGATCGTTCTTATAACTGACTTGAGTTTGAAAGTTGACGCCTCGGGTTGGTTTTACCGTCAGGGCCAGATGGAGGTCTAAGCCTTCATGAGACGATGGGATGAGGAGCGGGTAGATTGAGAGGGAGGAAGTGATTCTTTGGGTCCAATCGAGTTGGATGGATAGACATAGACATAACCTCGACTCTCTGTGGTACTGCGTAAAATCCAAAGAGAGGCTTTTGAGCCTAAGGAAGAAAAAAAAAGGACAATTAGCACAATTTGCATCAAATGCGAAACATTTTTGACATTTTGGGAGATGACGCAGTCAATCTACTCACTGCTTCATGCAAAGGCCTCCCATATGTAGCTCGGCCAGGGCTCGATGTGTCGCCACGCTGCTGTTTCCAAGCGTGACCTGCCTCTGGCCCAGTGTGTGCGCGTACAAGAGACGTGGCGACCCCACAAGGCGGAGCAGCGGGTTTTGGTGCAGGTATGTCACCAAGGTGCTGTTCATCCACTGCCCGGCATCTAAACAGCTGCAATCGAAGTGACACAAACCGCAACATTCCTCAAAATTTGCTTTGCTTTCTCGGTCTGATTATACAAAAGCGGCATGCTGACTTTCTGATAGATGTTAGATTTGGGCTGCCCAACGGAGAGGTGTGAAGCTGGCGCCCAACAGCTGAGTGCAACTGCCTGCCCTGCCTTCTTTCCACACTGTCCTGGTAGTTCACCATGAGCACCAGCAACAGAAATAGCAGCTGGAACGCACAATGCTTCAAAAGAGATGAAAACGGCAGTTAAAAAAAAAAAAGCCTGGTGCTGAAGAGCAGCAGGAAAAGTATTTGTGTGTATACTCACGGATGAGGGACTATCTTGGAGTCTGCTGGAGGGTCCAGACAACGATAAAAAAGATGGCCCTGAAAGTTCTGTTTGGCCGAGGTAGACATCCATCTCCACAGAATAACAAACCGGTGAAGAAGGAACTGACGTGTCCACGATAACCTGCATTACAAACGCACATTCAATGCTAAATGAAGACTCGATAACACAGTGACATCCGGTCAGGGTAGGCAAGTGAGGCAGTGCCACCCCATGCTGTCCGGTGATGAAACCGAACCTTGAGAGGTTCCAGCAGGAGAGCAGAGGCGAGGAAGGCAGAGAGCGCGGATACGAGCCACATGAGGACAACCGTTCTGGAGAAGAAGCTGCCGTAGATTCCGACGAGAACCAGGCATGCTGCGATCAGCGCAGCCACGAGAGGGTAGATCACGCACAACACCCAGGGAGGAAGCAGCCAGCTGGGCCGACCTCGAGCGATGCCTAAAGCGGGGTACAGATTTTTGAACATTTTAGCATGGTGCGTGGAGACTGCTGGAAATGACTGAGAAAACAAAAGCGTCGAAGTAGAAGGGGGGAAAAAATGAAGAAGCTACTGTCGGTTAAGTGGTAGATTATTTGGTAACTACACTGCAGTGGCAAACTCTTCTCCATTTTAATTCTATTGCAGTGAAAGACAAAAAAATAATAATTATCCACCTGTTGCTGAGCCTAACACCCTTAATTATAAATAGACATATTGCACAATTTATACCATTCATTATGATTATAATTTATTATTATTATTATTACAATGACAAATTCATATTCAGCACAAAAAAAAACAACTCCAAAGTTTTAACCCCATCTCTAATTTAAAAATGTAGTCGAAATTACCGTATTGGCCCGAATATAAGACGGCCCTGATTATAAGACGACCCCCTTTTTCAAGAGTCAAGTTTGAAAAAAGACTTTTTGAACACCAAATTAATTTTTATACAGAAAATAATTACAGTGCATCTGAAACAAATGATTATAGCAATATATTTGAGAGAAAAAAAGCATGTTATTTTGCCTCATTCAAATCTAAAGTGCAATGACATTCGTAAATGAATGGCTTCTGGTTTTTGAAATGTAAATTACATCATAACTTCTCCTCAGCTGCCGGTTAACCTGGCCGATCTTCGTCCCACTTTTCTCCAGATTGTCACTACGTTTCTCTATTTTCTGTTTTCTCTTCTATTATTTTCTTGTCGTTTCATTCTTACCACTATTTTTTTATTTTTCTTCTTCGTGCTACCGCTATTATTTTTATTTTTATTCTTTGTGGCAGGGGTTCACTTTGGCCTGGGGAGTCAAGTTCAGCATTCGCTTCAATGATATCTGGCGCCATCTAGCGTCGTGAATGGGTATAAGGTCTAGACCCCGACTATAAGACGACCCCCACTTTTTCAGTCTTATTTCAATGCAAAAAAAAAAAAAAAAGTCTTATACTCGGGCCAATACGGTAGTTGACGTGTAATCAATCAAAAATGCTTTGGATCAAAGTGTTTGAGTGTCAACATGGTTTCTACTCACTTATGATTTTCATGATTACTATTATTACTATACATACTGTGATTGATTTCTTCATTCAAAGACTTTACTTCAGCTATTCATTTTTGCATTTCCCCACCCAAGTTTCTGTACCGATGCGCGTGGTGGAGGAGCATCTTGTCGAGTCAGGGGAAGGACTCGGCAGGAAGGTGCCGGCCACAGAGTCCACAGAAAGTACAGATGGACATCGATTGAGTTTTGCCTCGCATTGGGAAGGACCGGAATGTGGCTCGAAAGTCAAATACTCCAGCTCACGGTGGTATTTATCGTCAGCGTGATCCCACCAACTGCTACATGAGGTGCTCTGGCTGAGAAAAAAAAAACACAAAACAAAACAAGAATAACATTTAATCAGATGAATCTCATGTCATGTCTTCAATGATAGTAAACAAGAGCAGAGAGATGTACTGTGTTGGCCTTACGTGTTTGAGAATGTTGAGGTGGTCGTAGGCGAGTCCCGACCGCTGTCCGAGTTGTTTTTGGTGAAATGCAAAGTGTCCTCTGTTGCTTCTTCTATTGACATCAGAAGATTCTCCTCTGAAAGACAAAAACACACGGGAAACTATAGTTGAAGCCTTTTGTGCGGAGTGAAATTGATTTACTTTTGTTACAACCTTGGATGAATATTTTCTTACCGGACAGAGTCAAAAAGTTTTTCATATTGTGGTTGTGAGCCAGCAGTGGTTTGGCAGTATCTTGCTCCTGCGCAGGGGAGTGATAGTCCACAATGTCTTTTTGGAGGGGATGGAGAAAGGCAGCAGGTGGGTCAGAGGAGGCGCGTGGGGTCAGGTGAAGCTGCATGCGAGCTTTTTTCCTCCTCAGTTGGCGTGTAGCGCACAAAGCAAGCGAGGCATCGCAGAGCTCGAGGTCTTCAGACTCTTTGAGCAGGCTGTCGCACGATGCCCAGGAAGTCGCAGTCGCTTCCTGGCATATGTCATCGGTCTGGGGCACCAAACCAGAAGCAGCCCAGAAGTCGAGGATGCTGGAGTCAAAACCTTTGCTCTCCAATAACTTGCAAAAAAAAAAAAAAATCATTCAAGAATAGGCGATCATGAATAAGACCTGGTGCTGAAGAGCAGCAGGAAAAGTATTTGTGTGTATACTCACGGATGAGGGACTATCTTGGAGTCTGCTGGAGGGTCCAGACAACGATAAAAAAGATGGCCCTGAAAGTTCTGTTTGGCCGAGGTAGACATCCATCTCCACAGAATAACAAACCGGTGAAGAAGGAACTGACGTGTCCACGATAACCTGCATTACAAACGCACATTCAATGCTAAATGAAGACTCGATAACACAGTGACATCCGGTCAGGGTAGGCAAGTGAGGCAGTGCCACCCCATGCTGTCCCTTCTCCTGCAAGTGGAATTTTTTTTTTTTTTTTAAAAAAGATCTTATGATTATATTAAATGATATTCCATTGTAGTTCTATGGTCTGTGCTTTACATTGATTTTCTCTTTCAATAATTAGCTGAGTGTGTATATTTCCTGTGCCTCCAGTGACAATTGCTGGACTTGGGCAGTTGGCGTGAGCACTCACACAAGAGGCGTTGCTGTTCTTTTTTCAATATCGTGTTTAAGGACATTCAACAGTTGTCCTTAAACACGATAACTGTTGAATGTCCACGATATGGACATTCAACAGTTTGTTGAATGTATTGAATAAATGTGTGGGACAGATACGGTCACTCTCACGGTCAGAAAAGCATCTGAAAATAGGGGCTCGAGTCAAGAGGGTTGCCGCTGCCAGCACGTGCCGGCGTTTTGATCCATTGGCGAAATGGAAGAAGTAAAAAAATAATAATTATCCACCTGTTGCTGAGCCTAACACCCTTAATTATAAATAGACATATTGCACAATTTATACCATTCATTATGATTATAATTTATTATTATTATTATTACAATGACAAATTCATATTCAGCACAAAAAAAAACAACTCCAAAGTTTTAACCCCATCTCTAATTTAAAAATGTAGTCGAAATTACCGTATTGGCCCGAATATAAGACGGCCCTGATTATAAGACGACCCCCTTTTTCAAGAGTAAAGTTTGAAAGAAGACTTTTTGAACACCAAATTAATTTTTATACAGAAAATAATTACAGTACATCTGAAACAAATGATTATAACAATATATTTGAGAGAAAAAGCATGTTATTTTACCTCATTCAAATCTTAATATCTGAACATTTAAATATGTAAACTAAAGTGCAATCACATTCGTAAATGAATGGCTTCTGGTTTTTGAAATGTAAATGACATCATAACTTCTCCT